TTCCAACATTACATGCAGTGGGGCCGCCCAAATAGCTCAAGGACTAAGGCACCTGCTTAAGCAGAGATGGAGGGCCAGGGTTTGATCCATGCAGTCCCCTGGGGCACACTGAGACAGCTATGGAGACTGGGTGTAGTGGTGCATGCCTGTAATCCCAGCATTTGGGAGGCTGAAAACAGGAGAATCACTACAAGTCTGATCTACGTAGTAAAACCCTGTACCCCATAGACCCTGTACTAAATTAAAAAAAAAATAAAATAAAAAAATTACATGTAGTAGCTGATCTTGACTGGACATACCAGAGGGAAGTACTAGACAGTTCAGTAGACCCTACCTACATAGAGAGTACCTCCTATGTCGTACTTGGCTTTGAAATCTACACTGGTAAATGAGTCCAAGTATCTGTCCTCAGGGACTTCTTACTTTAGTACCAAATTTGTCATAGTAGACTATTTCTTGTGCTAAATATTCATTTGTAAATTACTCATCTCTTTTTATAAACTTCTCAAGTGGATAAAGGAATAAGAAATGCATTTTTAATTTAGGCTTGATCCTAAAACATCTGTGATCACTATTTTTAAAATAAAAGCATATACTTTTCTAAATTTTTTTCAAACTAAATTCCTTTGGGAGGGAATTCATTTAAATTTTCTAATATTTCCTCTGAAGTAATTATTAAAGTTACACAGTGAACTTCATGAAAACCAGTTATTTTCTAAGGAAAAAAAATCTCTTCAAAATATTTCTGAGGTTGGCCTTCATCTTCGGTTTATTTCAGCAAGTATATTGGTGTCTAAGCTCAAGATATAATAACGAATATGTTGCCATCAGTTCTCCTGTTAGACCCCAACTGGGCTCCACTTGGGCGAAACAGTTCTCTTACCCCTCTAAGTCCAGTTTTCTTTATAGAATTTAAATTGTAATATGTTGCCATTGAGTCCAACTTTAGTAAAACATGTCTCTTTCAAAATCGATACAATTTGGGCCGGGGAGATGGCTCACTGGAATAAGCACTTCCCTGGCAAGCGCGAGGGCCTGAGTTCAATCCCTGGTTCCACCAAAAAAAAAAAAAAAAGAGTCAAAATCCATATATTTTCTTATTATATAAAAACTCCATGTTACTGGTACTTAAAACTGTGCTTACATCATTTGGTGCTATTAGTGTCAATTTAATAAACTACAGAAAATAGTTAACTTGATCCTAAACTTTATGTTTGTGTCCTGCATAAATTAGGTAATTACAAAATCTAGAAGATTTTCAATTTTAAGTATTCTTAAGGTAGTAATACACTATAAATGGCCCTGAAGTCTTTTTTATTAAACCACACCCAATCAATATACTCCTATTTGTTGTGCTATTATGTTCAAAATTATCAGACAGCTAAGCCAAATATTTAAGCAGATTATTTGAAGATAAATTTGATAATCAGATTTCAGCACAATATATTTGAAGTTAAATCGCCAACATACCAAAGTGACAGTAATAGCAACCCAGATTTCTAAATGACCAAAGAAGAAACTAATGTCCCCTGCACTAAAGCCAAATGATAGAAATTCTAATAATTTCTTACAAATTTAGAACAGTGGTTCTGTCTTGACTGCAGTTAACATTTATTCAGGGAATCTTGCTTGTATGAGTGACTGCTCATCTAGAGGCTGCAACTCAGTTCTACAACTTTAGAATCTTGAGGATTGGATCAAGTAGCAGTGTTTTCAGAATTCCCCCAAGTAATGCTAAAAAAACAGCCAAAATTGAAAACCAAAGAAGAAAGATCCACTTTACAATTTGCTAGCTAAATAAAAAATATTCTCCCCCAAGAAGTTTAGATTACTTCAAGAGTATTATTTTTACCTTGGAGAGTGGTTGGAATTTACATTAGATTATCTTTGATCATGCAACCTTTTTAGTTGTCCTTTTTCTCTTGTACAACAAAGCATGGAGTCCACATTTATTATTTCATACTGTAGGCTATGTGTCTGTCCTGTAGTAAAAGAACAATGCAAGTATGGTGGAACATGCCTGTAATTAGGACTCTGAAAGGTTGAGACAAGGATTGCAAGCTTGAGCCCATCATGGGCAACTTAGCAAGGCTGTCTCAAAAAGAAAAACATTTCTAAGGCAGAGAGGATGGAGGTAAATGTGAAAGTTTTGGGTTCAATCCCTTGTTACTACACATACACACACACACACACACACACACACACAGGAAAGGATTACAGTTTACAGTTCTGGCATACTATAGCCAACACAAAGACAATTTATTAAAGTTGTATTTAAAGAAAATGTATAAAGGAGAGAGAATTAAACTAAATGTTATTATGCCGCTGTTTCATATAAATAGTATAAAAATTTGCCATCAATTTATATTTTAAGTGTGTGTATTTCTCTGACTTATTTACATTTCAATTTTTATTATAAGTTGTTTTCACAACCATTATTGAACTGCTCTGCTATTCATTCATTAAAATATGTGCTTAAAACAAATAGTTTATGATTAACACTTGTCAAAAAAGACAAAATCAGTAAT